TCATATAATTTTAATTTTATATATTATATATTTTTTTAGATGTATATATTTATTAAATTGTATTTTGCTTTTTAATTATATTAAATTAGATTTTCAATAAATAAATACAATTAATGATAAAGTTCTCATGTAATATAAAATAATCTTATATATCTAGTATATATATAGATTAGTCAGGACTGTTAACCTCTTATATTTTCTTCTTATAAATACAGTATTAATCCACTGACCCCTGCAGTTTCACCAGGATGTGGCTTGCTAGATCTGGTCTAGTCTGGTTTCTCCAAAGGTTTTGTCCCAGTCCTGAGCATACCCTAGAAGTTGCCTTGGATAAAAAGCATCTTATTGATGAATAATGCAATGATTTTGTTTTTCTTCTGACACAGTGGTTCACATTTCAATCCAGCATTCACCATAGCTGTCTTCCTCTGTGGTGGAATGGAGCTGAAAATGGTGGCGCCGTACCTGCTCTCCCAGCTGACTGGAGGTTTACTTGGTGCAGTCATGGCCAACGTGAGTAAGATACATGCAGTTTTGAAACATTCGACATGTCTTTCATGCTTGCTTTCAGGGAATGACCTCAAATGAGAAATATGCACAAGCTCAAGGTGTGGCATTTATGGTTCTCCAGGCTGATGACCTTATTATGAAGGCGTTATTTGGAGAAATTGCCATGACGTGTATAGTTACCATGGTGGTCTTACTAGGTGCAGTTAACGCCAAGAGCAAAAGTCCTTTGGTTCCATTTTTGGTGGGCTGCAGTCATTATTAATATACTAGTGGGGTGAGTTCATTGATTATGTTACACATAATTCCCTGTGTGCGGTCTGGAGATGAATATCTTCTGTGGGTTTCAGCGGTGATGTGTCTGGTACATGCTTGAATCCTGCAAGAGCGCTGGGTCCTGCAGTGCTGACCAACTACTGGACTCACCACTGGGTTTACTGGGTGGGACCCATTACTGGTGGCCTTATCACTGCTGCATTAGTCAGGTGAGACTATAGAGTCAAGCACTGGGAGTTCCATTAGAAGCACTGAAATCATCATTAATCAGCCGTTTATTATATTGCTCAATTTGACTGTTAATTAAGCCATTTTTTCCTTTCAGAATTTTGCTTGGAGACAACACCACCCGTCTGCTGATGAAGTAACATTCAGTACATCTTCCAAACGGATTTTCAGTCTTTATTTTCTTAATTCTCTGTCTTCTTTTAAGTGCACAAGAATTGAACTTGTTCTAAACTATATTAAACGATTTGCCTATAATTTATATTTCATTGCCAGCTATATCACTTAAATAAGAAGTTTAAGATAGTAATTTGTAAATCCTGCTATGTGAAGCTGGAAAGGGTTCAGGCTAGAAGGGATGTAACAAAAACTACTGGGCGTGCGCACATCAATATAGGGTAATTTTTCTCATACTGTACAACAATAATTACTGTTTTTGCATTATTGTAAGGTTTAGGGTTGGCGTAGGTGTAGACGTTAATAAAACACAATCTAATAGGTAGACATTTTAATTTATTGTGAGCTTCCGGGTTTTTGCTGCATCCCTTCTTCCCACAACCGAAATACAGGGAAAGGATGTTCAGCTGATAATTTGAATTTTATATTTTAAAATTGAAAATGTAGTCTAAAGCAGTAATTCTAATCTAATGAAATCAATTATATTCACACTATATTTACACTTTAATTTATACATTCATAGTTTTCTATTATTTTATGTTCATTCATGCACATTGTTTATGCCTAATGTTATTGTAATTAATAAATAGAATAAACTCTTCAATACAAGTGAAATGACTCTTTTTCCACATATTTGGCAAGCTCAAAAAGGCTACTACATATATAAAAACAAGCCCATATTTCTAATAAAAACTTAATGTGTTTGTTAACATGGATGGATTTAACATAGGTTATACATGAACACATTTTGGGAAGCTTTAAAAGCACCATGTCAAAGGTGATGACCCTGTTATATCTGTCACTCACTAGTTAGTTATAGAGGTTAGTCATCAGCTGAGTAAAAGAGGTGGACATGGGGACTATTGGCAACACTTTAAAACAAATTAAAGTACTCTAAAAAAAATGTTAATAATGCATAAGAAATCATTAGCTCATGCACATTAATAATAAACAATTTCAAATTCATTTTATATATATATATATATATATATATATATATATATATAGGGCTATAAAGTTATAACTTATAAAGGAGTTAAGCTTGATATAAACTTGAAGGAATTAAACAATAGGCCAATAATGTTGAATTATATCTATCTATCTATTTTCTGGACGCACATTGCGCAAATATTGGTCGCAAAGTGCAAGTAACATAACTTTTTTTTTTCAGTAAAACCAACATATAATTTTAATTGTACACTTCCGAGATTATGATTATGGGAATATACGTTAACTTTTTTTAATAGCGAATTCTCAATAATATAGGTGTCAAATATTTGGACATTTAAACTGTCGGGACTAAAAATGAAACCGTGTGACTGTAATGCGCCAAGCTAAAAGATATTCATCGCGGTGAAACAAATATAGCGCTTTTCTTTCAAAGAAAATACAAAAGTTCATTTAAAATTTCAAAACATTAGAAGAAATTTCACATTTATTTCAGTAAGTGTTGAATTCTTAATGTTTCAGATGTTTATTTTTACATTTGAATTATAAAACATAAAACACAGATAGTCCAAAATGAAACCAATGAAAACAAACACGGGGACAGTTGACACATTGAGCAGTCTCAATATTTAATTTGAAGCAAAAATCAGTTTATCGGTGATAGATGGAATTCAAGGGATTATTAAAAGGAATACGGATCTGTTGTATCAAGTTCATGGCGACATCTTGTGGCATTTGGTGGACTGAACTTCCTCAACAAGCGCTTGTTACAGAATTTTATATTTCGATTTGAAATCACGCCCCACGTGAAACCAATTTTAGCCTTTGTATTTTTGTAATTACTGAAAAATATTGAGAATGCCTGATAGTGGGTTTTGTTGACAGACATTAAGCGCCAGTATGAAATAATTACCCTTTCTTTAGAGATCTTTAAAAATAGAAATACAGAAACTACAAATTCTTGTTCGCTACGACACTTATGGCAGTGCGGTGGCTTATTATTCTTAATAATAAATGTATAAAATTGAATAATTGTATGCAATAATATTATATAATTTTATGTGTAGCCTATCTTTATAATAGAAATAAGTTTAAAACGGAGTGAATATCTGAGCTAGGACGAATGATTGTATTTGGCCAGCTTGTTTCCCTCCATTGAACAACTTGAACACTTTTAAATGTTTTTTGAATGTAATTACAACAGCGTAAAATCTTTCAGGTCATTATCAAATCTTTTCAAAATATGCCGACATGCTGTTTAAAATATTATATATCGGTTTACCGTTTATTTAAGTCTTTGTTTACAAGCACTGTCTGTAGTAAAAACCCGATTTAAAGGGCTTTCGGGTTTTAAAAATTAATTTCGTTAATAAAATGATTTTACAAATGATCAAATGGCGCGTTTGCGTGATCAATAGGTTTTTAATAAATTCTCCAGACATAGCTAAATTACACTTTTATTTTCGATGTGATACACATTGTTCGCTCTGCAAAAATACTGAACTCTTGTTTACACTAAACCGTTAATTAAACAGGTTGACATCATTTAAATGTAATAAAACGTTTTATTTCATCACTTAGGTATTCTGCAAGTTAGAAATGATTTGTACCGGAAAAGGATCATAAAGCAGCTTCATATTGAAATGTTTAAATCCACAATTATGTTCAACAGAAAAACGAAAAATAACGAAATACGAATCTAAACCCTAAATGCTTGTGCCTTATATATTTAGGCCTACACCGGGTTTAATTATATATGTAGCTTATTTCCCTTCACTCTTTTTAAAGGGTGTGCTTTAATACAGACTACCGTTTGGACCTTCAAATATATACAAAATCTAACCAGAAAAATACCATAAGTTCATAAAAGAGGGACTAAATGTCCCTTAAAAGGTGCATTAAGCTGAAACATTAATAATGGGTTAACAGCATCTATACCTACATTCATAATGAAGCTGAAGAAGGCAACCAAAGGAAGGAACCAACGGGTGTACGTTACATAAAATCTGGGAAATAGAAAAATAAACTTAATTTTCATAGAAAATGTGAATGGAAATGAAAGCTAAACATAAACTATATATTTTTTTGGCATTATGTACATAATTGCAAGACTTTACATTTATAGACTAGAAATGATATAGAAATGTAGGTTGTTTCTAATTTGATTACAATATTTCATAGACACACACACACATACATACATACATAAACTAAAAATCACATGATCATCTGTTTTCTTTGAAGAAACCTTTGTCTGTTGAACTCTCTTTTATGGTTACAGTCAAAGAGTTACTTGTTACGTCAGTAACAATAATTTTCTCCATATTCTTCAAACAAGGCAACCAGGACTGATCGGTTTCATCTACAAAACTCAGAGACAGTTGCTCTCTGGCTTGACCGGTGGATCGAAATAGATGGTTTTTGGAAGGATGTTTCATCTTGGATTGGCTTATGGCACCACTTGAGCTGTCCTTCCGTCGATGTCCCAAAACACCAAGCCCAGCTTTTAAGATGGTGCCACCATGTGTGAACTTGACGTCACTTGACCTGCTTCCCATTTGCTTCTGAACGTGGCTGGATTCTGCTTGAAACTTTTGGGTTAAATGAATGCCATCACAGTTCGAGGTCTCTCCTGATCTCTCGGTTTTGGAAGGTCGATAAGATAACGGTTCATCTGCCTTTCTTTTAACACCTTCAGCGGATGAACCTCCTGGACGCAACTTTGGCTTTGGTCCTCGCTTTTTTGGTGAGCTGGCAAAATCCAGCGGCCGTTGTATCCCATGAGTCAGTGCGTCTCTCTCAAGGTCCGGTGGACGCACACGAACACTTTCGCCTCTGTTGATGGTGCTCGGTGGGAAAATCGTTGGCACGACTGTCCGCAGTCCCTCACGTGCTCTGGGCGTCACAACCGGTTCGGCTACTGGGAATGACACGTGTAAGTCTCGAGACATTTCCCGTCTGAACTCATAGTTTTTGCCTTTTGCTTTAGCTTTTGCCTATGAAAAAAAAAAGTCAAATATAATTGAACAATTTAAGCACATGATACCATGGTTCCAATGCATTAAAGTGCAACAGAATTAAAAATAATAATAAATGCATTAAAAAGAAGCCATTAAACATGCAAGTATGTACAGAAATATTTTTTTCACCTTCATTAAAAATGTTTCTGGTTTAGGTCCCCTCTTTTTTGGCCCATACATCTCCCTCTCACGCTCTCTGCAATAACAAAAATGAAGAAAATAAGACGAAGAAAAGCTACTTTTAAACCTTCCAAAATATTTAATTTCTCTACCGGGATTACAGAAATAACGAAGAAACGGTTACCTTTCTTCAAATGCAGCGAAAAGACGCTCATCCAGAATATTCTCCTCTGGTTCCCAGGTGCTGTATCTGCACCAATAATTGCATGTTCAATTATTCGCAAATCATAACGCCCAACATCATTTCAAAGTACAGTTTTCTTTTTACACATTTATTACTAATGCGTGCATTTTTATAACTTATTTGAAGAGATGTTGTATGCGCATGTATAATATCTATTGATACATGTATAAACGGATACATATTCTGTGTATTAGTGACTCTTTTTTTCCAATATAAACCGTATTAATCAGCTGATAATGCGTTTTGAATGTTTTATCTTGACTGTCTCCCGTCACTGGCCTTGTCAGCTAACGTTCACATGAGCCCCGTTACACAGTCCCCGCTTCAGCCGTGCTAACACTCAGCGAGCTCGGGGAGCCCCGCACCGCTCCTTCCGTTGCAACAACTGCCGTTAACGTGTCATTACCACTCACTTCTGAGACCAGCCTTTCCATTTGACCAGATACTCCATCCGTCCCTGCGGGTAAAAGCACAGGGAGACTCAAATTAGCAAGCTAACGCTGCTAGGCTAACCTATCGCGTATAAAATGTCACTTGAGCGAGCATAAACAAATAACCAGACGCCTCTGTAACAGCGCCGAAGCCCCGACGAGCAGGCTGGGTGAGCACTTACTCTCCTTATGCGCCGTTTAATGATGGATTCGGCGGCGAAGACGCGCTCCCCGACGGCTGAGAGCTCCATGTTTACTTAAAGCTCGCAGTTATTTTTTCCCTCAGCTCTCTGCCTCAATAATGCTGGATAGCCCATAATACTCTATCCGAAGAGACGTCATCACGTTCTAAACTGTTGCCATGGCAGCGCAGGACGGCGGTGGCGTGTGAGTGGAGCTGCGTTCGAGGAGGAGGAGTCAAACGGCGCCAAACCAGAATGTCATTTATGACCGCTGTTTTGGAAATAAATATGTTTATTTCGTATTCTAGTCTAGAGTAACTGCGGTCAGGACTTTTTGATAAGTCCCCTATTAGTCGCATATTTACGGAAATTTTAACGGCACTCTTCAGTGCGTCTAGATACGGCGTGTTTCTTTTGTTGGCGATGCGTTGCGAGTAGGCTAGACATTGTGTTAAATATTTGTTTTGTTGCTTGTTTATATTTAATAGGACTGAAATCCAGACGCCCAAGCGCATTCTTCATTTTAAACGCAGTGGAGACCAGCACGAAACGCAAATATGTGCCTGAGTGCCTCCATATTCCCCTTCAAGTCATGTCATCCCTGTCAAATTAAAGTGAGGAAAAAAACAAAAAACTTTTACATTAAATACAAATAACGAAATGAACAAAAAAAAAAAAAACAGAACAAAATACATAAATACATAACAATTGTAGGGCTGGTCATAAATCCACTTTTATAAATCCACATTATACATAGACTAATAAATCCACAGTTATAGGCCTATAGGCTACGCGTATCGATATTTGCCGAAATCTCCCTGTTTAGGCAAGAAACTAGTTAGGCTAGGTCAAGTGTCGATATATTCGGGTTACTGCCTGGTCATTTTGCAATAGCCTAAACCAAAAGACACTTATAGCTTTCTTAAACGATTTTAAGATTTTAAAGATTATTTAAAAATCAGTAGCCATATCCGAAATTAGCTTGGGCCTATAGCCTATAATATATAGCCTAGCCTATATATCGTTTTCTTTCTTTCTTTCTTTCTTTATTTCTTTCTTTCTTTCTTTCTTTCTAAAAAAATATAAATAATGAGAATTATTTTAAAACAAAAACCCGAGTAGCCTAGTTCGGACAAAAAAAAAACAAAAACATTTTCTTGTGTAGTTTTTTCTTTTTAGGCTAAGTCGTTTAAAAATGTCAATATGTTTTTTTCTGTATAAAAATGTAGGCTATATGAAAATACATGTGGAATTTTAATACTAGGTTGTCCTCGACTTTAAAATGGAAATGATCTGCGATCTGATACACAGCAACTAATCTTTTATTTGATTTATTTGATTTGAAAGATTAATTCGATTTTTGTCCGAATCATTCGATGCAACGGATAAGAACAAGCTAAGGAAATTATATCTCGCTTTCAGTTTCCGCCATGTTTTGGTTTATTGGTTTATTTGTTCCGATTCGATGGATTTAAATTAGGCTAATCGGAAAAAAAATCCTTATCACATATATTATTAGGCCCATTATTATTATTATTACTATTATTATAATTATTATTATTATTAGCCCATTATTATTATTATTATTACGACAGTCACAACATACATTTTCACCATTATTACTAGGCTACCAAGAAAAAAAACTAATTCTCAAGCTCGTTTTGTATCGAACATTTTTTTTTCTATTATTTGTTATAATGACAAGAGTGACAAGAAATCTCCGAAATGCAGGCAAAAAAAAAAAGCGAAAAATAAATGATAAATTAAATTTTTGCCTTCTGTACTATCCAAATAATCCAACATTATTTTCAACATTGATAGAAATATTCAGATTCATAAAACAGTCGCACTGAAGTCAAAACAAAATTCCATCGTATAAACACGACAAATAAACAAATAACTGAACGTTAAGTATGCCTACTTGCGTTGTGGTTAATTAAAGATATTAAATAATATAGCCTAGGTTATTAGTTAGTTATTAGTCCCGATTTTTTTCATCTAGTTAGCACAGTGGTTCCCAACCCTGGTCCTGGAGGCACCCCAACACTGCACGTTTTGCATGTCTCCTTAATCAAACACACCTGATTCAGGTCATCAGCTCATTAGTAGAGACTTCAAGACCTGAAATTGGTGTGTCAGAGAAAGGAGACATGCAAAATGTGCAGTGTTGGGGTGCCTCAAGGACCAGGGTTGGGAACCACTGAGTTAGCAAACAATAGTAGCCTATTTTATGGGTATTTTTATCTTCTGATCAATTAAATTAAATAAAGAGAGAGGTTAGGAGGAAAATAATTTTAATTTCTTTATTCATGTGATTTTATTAGTTACCTTGAGCAGATTTTATTTTTCCACATATCATGTTTATATGGAAACAGGTCACAAATAGCCTCTAATCTAATCTAATCTAATCTAATATAATATAAAACAATGAACCTCCTCTCTCATGTATCTAATGCATTGTTATATCTTATTGGAACATAATTTGGGGCAGAATTATAATAACAACACATCTCAGAATGGGACAGCTCGTTATAATATATGGATCCATGGTTACCACTTTACCTAATATCACATTTAAATAATAAGAAAGTATATTAAATTCAAGATCTTCTTGACATAGATGCAGATTAAGCTGGCACCCAGAAAGATGACCTATGTGTTTTAGATCACTCATCTTTTAATGCAACTACTCTATAGTAAAACATTACCTTTCCATTTATTTTATATAGGAGCCTAATCAGGGAGGCAGCATGATGAGGGTTGGCTTTCTGGTCAATATAAGGCACAGGTATGGAAGCGTTTTATGAACATGGTACTGCACCCATAGGAGGCAGCATTGCTACATTTCACTAATTTATAAGAGCCTCTACTATATAAGCAAACTGTAAACTGGTAAAATATTTTTCTGCTGAAGTCTCTGGATGCAGTTAATCAGGCAAAATGGGAAAAAAAATGAATGACATTATAAAACAAAATATTCATGTTTATTATTCAAGTTTAATATTTATTTGAGAAGCATTTTCAAACTGACAATTCAAAGTTTACTATGCATAAAACATAATGCATATAAATGGCCTTAACCTTAATGGCATTATTGTGTAATTTGTACATCACATACTGTACATCTCATTGCGTACCTACAGTACATTCCATTGACTGTAAATTGATTCCAATTCATCCAAATCTATAGCATTACACTGTAAGCATCAATCTTACATTTACTTTCCGGGCATATATATATATATAACAGTTTGCATGTTCTGATGATCTCTGACCACAGTCATACTGCTGTTACAGAATTATTCTGCAAGATTAACCAGCCTTTATTGAGTTATTTTAAACTGAATTTATTAACAAGAGATCCAGGAGATGATAAAGTGCAAATTAACTTCTTACAGAGAGGGAACACCAAACAATCCAGTTGTTTATCTAGCATTGCACAGGAAGACCTCACAGGCCAACAGCATCTGGAAATCAATTAAAATAATTCAGCAAAACAAAATCTGAAAAAAAACACAGTTTTAAAGGTATATTCATATACATGTATGATGACACCTTTCCAAGCGACTCCAAATTTATAGATCTCAATTATATGTAAATCTAAAAAATTCTGAAATCCCCAAAATTGGAAGAAAAATTCAACATGTGGTCCATGATGTAGATGAACAGCGAAAGGTGTGAGTATAAGTGCATTAAACTTAAACTTCATCTTCAATGAATTCTTCAATTCAACCAGTGTGCTTTCTCCAATAGGCCGCTGTGTTTCCTCAGGTAGCATTAAAATTCAAAAGCTTTATAAACTATATTACACACTATACAATTATGGGGTTTTAAATTCAATTTCCACAGCAGCAAAACATCAACCATCTCAATTGTATGCATTAGTAAACATTCAGCAGGCATCTAAACAAATAAACAAACCATATATAGAGTTTGTTTGCTTAAACGTCTCCATATGTTATCAGGATTGGTTATGATCAGTGCATCCAACATGAGTCAACTTTGAGCTGGTTCAAATGAACAAATGACAGTATGTATGTATTGTAGTCTTTATCCTTGAACGTATTCCTTAAAGGTTACGGTTAAGCAGTTCGTAGTGATATCGGTGATGATAACGTTACCCACAAATGGCTTAACATGGCTGTTTGTTTTCTCCACTGGCGCTGAGCTTCCTGAAACCTTCTCCGCTGTGGGAAACTGCTTAAGAGTTTTGGTTGGACCACAGCTTAAATCAATAGGCTCTTCAGGAATGGTGTCGCTAAAGTCATAACTGTAGGCTCTGTTGGCGAGACTGCCTCTGTAATGCAGGTTTATAGGTTCTCTCTGAGGAGAAGAAAGCACTGTGTTTGGTGCACTGAACTGTTTTAAGAACTGCTTACAGGTTCTCACATCCTCATTGGGTTCTGAGAGGTTCCTCTTGCGGTGATTGAGTCCGGTGTCCGTGTGGGCTGGGGCAGCTTTCTCCGAGTTTGGTTGGTCGCATAAATCTATCACTATTTGTTCAGTCTCTGTAGGCGTATCTTTTGGAAGTTCAGCCTTTTTGATGGAGTTCTTGTGAATGCACTCACTAGACGAAGAAAATGTGCTGGTGTTCTCAACAGAGCCATTCTCGCGGCCTGCTGAAGTTTCACCATCAGACGGATTGTCTGTATTATTCAGTGTAGATTCCTCATTGTGCTGCGCTTCCACTTGGGAAACATCCTTGTTTTTTACTTTAGATGAATGCACACCTTTGTCCATGTATTTGCTCATTACAATGACAATTCGTCCGTTTTTGTTTTTGTTCTTGATTATTTTCATCTTGCTGCCGATGCCGTTAGGAAGTGCAAACTCTTTGGCGCTCGTCTTGAGTGCCCGCTCTGCTTTGTTAGCATTATCCGGCAGGCTCTTGAGCTCGATGGACAGATCTTTCACTTTACTCAGGCAGCCGGTGTCTTTGTTCCGAATCCACTTCTGTTGCAAGGCTGGAGGGAGGTTCCACCCTTTGTTGGAAGGGTCTTGAACCTTAACCTCTTTGGGTCCCGTGAGTGGCGTGTCGTACATCTTGGGGTCCGGCTGGTAGTGATGATGTTTCTTGCTGTTCAGCTGGTAGAAGTGCTTCTTTTTCCCGCTCACATGTTGTTCGACGGAGATCTCCTTGCAGCTGGGCTGGTACT